TAAAAAGGTGATGTTTGGACATCACCTGACTGCCATGGGTTTCTTAAAGCTCTGTTATCATTTCTCTTTTGAAATATGGGCCAAGAACATACCTGAAGTACTAACATTAATGAAGCATGTCCATATCAAATGTGATAATGTATTGCTCTGTTCCTTCCAGGGTTTTGAATTACAGGAACAGAAGAATGTTAATCATTTAATAAATGATGCTGGCAACACAGCTTTTGTAATTATCAAATTTGTTGTTGCTGGCACTTTACCAGCCTCAGACATGGTTTATTAATTGCTTTGTAACTCTGCCTGCAAATTATATTTAAATGCTTACCCTTGTAGGTCCAGATCTTTCAGCAATATGGTGGTGAATGGGATGAGCATATAGATGTTAAGACTGACCCCCGGTATTCTTGGTAGGTACTTAAGACGCAGTCAAGGGCCTGCTTCTAATATCAGTCCTGGAATCCCCCAGGCCAAAAATGGTCAGCAGAGCAATTGGATCTAGCTATTATCTTCTTTCCCAGACATGCTGCTGATAACAACACCTCTTCATTGTAGGACATTAAAATACAGAAGACCAAATCACCCAGTGCTTTTTTTGTAACAGTGCTCACAGGACTGTTGCCAGGTCAGCCTGAGAGGGTCAACCAAAAGACATCCATGGAGATATGTAACATCCTAACAATGAAATATGGCTATTGAAATGCCATTACCGAAGCACCTGGAATGGAACCAGTGTTATTTCTAACCAATGGTGAAACAGAGTATTTGGCAAGGAAACACAATGTTCTTCTCCACTGCAAAGCCTGGGTTACCCAGGAAATGCTGTGCAGGTATTACGTATTTAATAACTTTTTACAAACTGTTCAGACTACTTAGCACTATGGTAAATTGCATAACCTTCTTAATGCAGTTGGTAATCAGGTTTTCCTTGCTGTGCAATAGGTTTAGAGAGAGTTGTCCTTCCAATTTAAAAGGTTTGGAGGTTTTGAAAAGCCAAATGTAATATTTCCATAGTCAGGAAAACTGAAGCAAAAAAGACTAAGCAAACTAATCACAACAACAGAATAAAGCGCCCCTTAATTTCTAAATTAACTTACCATTGGAAAACCTGAAGGACCAGGTTAGAACAGATCACTATGGAGAAAATCTACGTGGTCGGTAAGAATCAACACTGACTTCATGGCACATAATCAACAATGACTAAATTCACTTACAGCACTGATACAGAAGAATGCTTCCAACTGGCCTTCATACAGATTTTTGCAAACATGAACTCCCCACTCTGCAAGGCAAACCACTCCAAGGACCGAGATTTAATACGTTTGCCATTAATGATGGAGATGATGATGACACTATAAATATTACATGTGGGTTTCCTAAAGCAGCTCTCTAAGGATGGCGTCCCTTATTTAAAATGCTCTAACTTTTATAATATACCTCTAGAAGGCCAGTTCAAAACAGTAATTTAATTTAATTTAAACAGTACAGTAATTTCATCTTGACTTCCATGGCTACAAGGTAATTAAAATGAGTTTGGACAATGTTTGTCCAGAATTTATTCAGAGTTACTTCCTGGCAGATCCACCCTTGTCTAGGAAGCTCCTGGTAAGTCACCTTTATTTGCAAGAGAAACCTATTGAAACGTGGTCACAGAAAGCAGCAGGCAGAATTTACTTAGATTTTCTGAAGATGTCCGGAATTGCTGGAAAATACAGAGGAATACCTTCTAGTAACAGTGTTTCAAATGGATTGGATATATGAAATTATATGTAACTAAAAGACTTGCAACTTTATTTACAACTTTTCAGATTACAAAGCTGTTGTTTTATTATGCAGGCTAGGAGTTTAGGTTTAGGAAACAAGGCCTCTTCATTTTAGTGGCATCTAAAACTGGCATGAAACACTGTTACACTATTTTCTGTCATTTCTTGAATGAGAACTCATTAATAATTAAATAGATCAGAATAGGAGGAAGGAAAAATCATAAGCATAACAACATACAAACTACAGAACATTTTGTTAGGCCATTTTAGTCTGATCATCTTCCTTAATTAAGATTTCAGAATTATTCTCCCTTGGATGGCTTCTTAATTCTCAGAACGGAACTTCAGTAAAACTTGTTTTCTTTTCTTTTTACTTTCTCTTCTATGGGATAATTGTTTTTTTTTTCTCCTACAAACTTTGATGCTTTCTTTGATATTTCACTGCTGTCACTTAGCTGCTTAATCAAATAATATTTATAATAAACACAATGTTTTTCTTCTCTTTCTCTCTCGGCTAAGACTTGATCACTCTTTTATTGCTTGCTTTGACCACTGCCTCCTTCTTTTGCTTGTCTTTCTTCAGAACCCCCACCCCCCGCCCAAACCTTTTCTTTCTTGACTTGAATGGTTCAGGAGTCCTCACCCTTTTTCAGTTGATGGATGAATTTGAAACCATTTGGTGGGCATTCAGAGACTGGCAGTTCCAGTGGGCAGAGAAGTAAGTGAAACTCTTCCTTGCCATCTTTATTATACCTCTCCCCTACCCCAGTATTTGAACCCTCCCCCCAATTTAGTTTTCTCTTTTGTCTGGCTGGCATGACATATATCCTCACAAAGCATTAGGCTGCAGCCACCCAACAATTTTGCTTTCTAAGAACATCTAGGAACCCCATATGGAATGATCCAAAGTTATTTCTGGAAAAAAAATAAGTGCAGCGCAATTCAGTTTCTGTTGGGCTAGTGAGGACTAGAATTTCACCTCTGTAAGGTTGTAAATCTAAGCACAGCCAACTTCAAAATAAGTTGTACTGAAATCAGGTATATTTATATCTGGGAAAATCTTTTAGGAAAAAAAAAAAAGTAGGGTTGGCCATACAGACAGTTCTAAATCTTTAGATGGGATACTTCTCGATGAGGATTTCTGGTGCAAAAATTCTTCCTCATTCACAAAATTTCCCAAGGAAGCCTAGATTATTTACCATGTTCCCATTTCTACATTACAGTAGCACAATCATGACTACACAGCCTCAATCTTCCCCCTTGGTTGCATGAGGTTGTCTAGTCTCATCGCCTACAGGAAAAAACCAGCTTTAAGTCATCACTAAGTGTGCAGGAATGAAAGTTTTTCTTCCATTAAATTTACGTGTCCCATCACAGCTTCAGTGTATGTAAAATCCCTATAGCTTTGTCACCCATCATCTCAAAGGTGAGTTCAGTTGACTTGTCATGAGTGTGACCAGCAGTGGGTTGGCCTGCACCGGCCTGGCCTCCCCCCAGTCACCTCTGCAGCCATTTTTCTCCTTCCACTTCCGATTATAACACTCTGCTTCCTGAGTTTCTTTGAAACTTACTCTATCACACTTCCCTATTTTTGAAACCACCTTTTCTCCAGGATTTCAACAAAGTAGGGGAGGTGGAAGCAGACCTCTCCTATTTTATTTAGGGATGAAAATGGTGGTTCTTTCTTCATTGCAGCCTCTATTAAATAATGAGGGATGTTGAACTTGCCAACTCTTTAGAATTAAGAGCTATAGTTGCCTAGGACCTACAGTAGTCAGTCTCAGCAGTCCTACCCAATAGAAATTATTTGATTGCACATTACATTACTCTGTAGCTATTTCTGTCTTGATGTCTTCCTATATGTTTCTTTCACACTATTTTAATTTGGGGAGATAGTCAAATGCTGTTTGGGAGGAGGAGAAGATATATTGATCCAGACAGCCCTGAAATCAGAGCCAAACTATTTATGCATTTTTATTTTTTTTTTGCTAGGTGTTGATGTGAGGAGATAAGAGCTAAGGAGAAAGAGAAGTTGCAGCCAAAGTAGAAAAGGCTGCCAGTGGCTTGAAATGGATGCAGTAGAGGCAGGATAGGGAGTGGCAATGGGAACAGCAAATTTTATGTCAACATTGTTTTGTGGTAACTCAAGGAGGGACGGGTAGTGCTTTAACAGGGAAAGGCTCAGTGGTGTCTTCTACTTCTAATCCTTCCATTTTTTTCTCACAACTTCTGTACAGATAGAACTGAAAAAAAAAACCCTCTAAAAAGTGCTTAGAAGAATAGCTGTGTGTGCCTTTAGGCAATACAGAAACTATAATCTGGTTAAATAGAAGTTTTAGATGATGATTTTGTGCATCAAGTTGTTTTTGACCCCTAGTGACCACATATAGATTTTCTCCATGATGATCTGTCCCTAGCCTGTTCAAGTCTCCCAGCGGTACACTCACTGCTACCATAACTGAGTCCAGCCACCTTGCTGCTGGTCATCCTCTTCTCTTTCCTTCCACCTTTCCAGCATTAGAGTCTTTTCCAGACAGCTTACTTTTAAGACACTTATTTCCTGCTCTAAGACAAAACCTTTATTTTTTATGTGGTTTTCTTAGATTCTTTTCCAAAATAATATTCTAGATTAAACTGATCTTTCAAATAACCAGTTTAGCAGAACTAATTGCCTGTTACTTGGCCCAGAGAACTTGAAAGCAGAAGTGTCATTTTTTTCTTTCTTTCTTGGGTGAGGTTACAGTCTTTTGAAACGAGACTTCAGTACAGAGCATTGGCTAAAGAAAATGCTGAGAAAAGCAGAAGCAAAAAGCAATCCACAGCTCAGATAAGATCAAGGGTGTTAAGATGAACTGCTGCTAGTAGCCATCCGTTTGCTATCGCTGTACTCCGTTCCCCAAATATGTGTTTTTGTGTGTGTGTGTGTGTTGGTGGGAGTTAGCAGCGAGGAAACATCAGTACAGTCTTATGCACTCTTACGTGGGAGTAACAGCAAGCGAACGCAGCAGAAGACACTACCCAATAAAGATACTTGCAAAACTACTATTTTCCCCAAAGCTGGACCTCAACAGAAGGGGAAATAAAGCTCGCGAGACTTGTATATAAGGGCTGGGTGTGGGACTGACATCTTCCTAGGCCATCAGTTGCAAAGGGCCATTCAAGCAAAGATTGTTAATTGGTGACTTATGCGGGTTGTCTTGGCCAATGATAGTGCGAGTAAGTGAAGGGAGGCGGGTGCTCTCAGCCTAGCCGGGGAGGCTCGTGCTGCCTGAAGTCAACTATTGCCCTGGGAGGGGTATTTCTCCCGCACGGCGTCCGGGAGGTACCCTCTCGTGAGACGGCAGCGTTAACCACCAGCGGTGTTTCCGGTGCACCTGCCCACGCTGGAGGTCCCCCTGCAGGAGCGGGCAGTCCTGCGGTGCAAGGTGAGCGTCGCGAAGGAGAGGACGGAGTAGCGCCCCAATGTAGCTGTTCCCACTCCAGGCTGTGGTCTGGGGGAGGCTTTCGCCTGAGGGAGCGAGGGGCAGAGATGCTGGCTGCGGAGGCCTTGGGATGACTTGACGAAGGCTGGAGGGAGGCTTGCCGAGCGCCTGCCCCGAATGACAGCCGCGGGGGATGGTTGCAGGCGGGGCGGGTGGCAAATATGCGGGACGCAGAGACGGGGGCTACAGGCCGGCCGGGACTCCTGCCCGCGGCAGCCTCTTCGGGCTCGCCCTGGGGGCGTCCGCGAGTCGCTGTGGAGTGAATGGACTGCTCATTGCGGCAGCTCGGGTTTTTTCCCTCTTTCACGCATTCGGGTGGATACAGGTAGGAAAGAGGAGAAGAGGGGCGGGGAGTGCGTGGTGGGAGGACGGACGGAGGTTAGGAGGGGGGGCTGCGTGTCCGTGCCTGCCAGTGAGTGCGCGCGGGGAACTCGCGTGTCGTGGGGCGGCTGCTCTCCGTAGCTGTGCCTTAGAGAAAGGGCGTACTGGCGCCGAGCCTGCTGTGAATCTGACTTTGCGACGTATGGGACTTTCCCACCAGCAAGGTGGGTGGTAGTGGGGAGATATTTTGTGGCACCACGTGAGTGGAGGGTGCGTAGGCTGGGAAATGCCAGTCTGTCCATGAGCTGTCACCTCCCCTCCCCTTTCCCCATAAGTTTGGTTTATTTATTATTATATATTAAATTTCTCCCCCGCCCATCTCCCCCCAGTGGGGGACTCTGGGCGACTGGTTTAGAAGAGAGAATATTGCTGGTATCTGTATACAACCTGTGTAAAATATGGACAGGCTGAGACGGATGTGCAGGTGCACGCCCGAGAGAGAGAGAGAGAGAGAGAGAGAGAGGCTTTAACGAGTTCTTGTGTATGGAAAGGTGTGAAGAAATAGGTGTGGTTGAGAGAGTCAGTTTCTGTAAGTGCAAGAGAAAGACTTCAAATCGGTATAAATAGAGTATGGAGCATTAAATGTAAAATACTTGTTCATATGTGCCCAGGATTTATTTTAGATGATTTTTGCCTTGCATTTTCATCTGAAACGTAAAGCAGCTAAAAAGATTTATTTAAAACAATGTTTAAGCTATCCATTAGTTTTCCTGATTACACTGACTGAAAATGTTAGCTGTCAGTCTTTCTGCAGTTCTTGCAGTGATGCGCTAAAGCTGTCTGTTTATTTATTTGTTGCATTTATATACTCCTTTCTTTTCAAAGTTATCATCCTGGGCAATTAGTTCAAAGTTACCGCAGTCCTAGTTAATCACACTGGCACCTTTTTTACTTATGTCTCTATAATAGTTCCTGGTGCCTGTGTTGTATTAACTTTTTTGTAGGAGTATGTAGTTTATTAAACTATAACTTTATTCAGACATTATTTTCTAATAATTTGTTAATAGTAACAGAAAGAGGTAAAGAGCAGCATAAACAATTAGAATGACAATGTGGTCTCCTTGTCAAAGGTCTGTATTCATAAGCATCCAGTGATGTCACAAAAATTACAAAATTAGGTCATTTGTGTGGTGTCATGAAGTACATGACATCACTTGCTCCTTTATTCCCCTTTAGATATCCATGTCTTTATTCATAGATAGATAGATAGACAGACAGACAGACAGACAGACAGATATAGATACACACACACACACACATACACATACATTTTTATGTTTGTGTGTGTGTATGTATATGTATGTGTGTGTGTGTGTGTATATATATATATATATATATATATATGGATTCTCTATTACTATGAATGAAAATCAGATTGTAATACATATGAACGCTATCAGTTTTTTAATGATATATACTGGCCATATATTGATATGGGAATAAAGGGAATCCAGATTTAGCCTCTCTCCCAAGTCTCTAAACAGGAAGACTAGATGTAATGTGGATCACTCAACTGCAGGCACATGCAGGGCTGACCCTTTTGATCCATTTATTTATTATTAATCCAATTTAAATGGCTGACCATCTGTCCAAGAAACTTCGGGCAGCAAACAAAATAAAAGCAGATAATGTCAATTAAAAAAAAATTAAAACTGCATTATGGCTCAGTAAAACCCCAAAACCTCTAGACCCATCCACCGAGGCCAGAGCTCCAGTGCTAATGTCCCAGTGCCAGTGGGGGAAGAGTCAGGCTTTCAGAGTCTTGGCAATGGCCAGCAGAATAGGGGCTGTCTGCATTGGGGAACTAATCCAACACATTTCCTCATGGTGGCTCTAATAGAGATGTAACCATTGAAAGCTCAGTCAGAGTAAGAATATTACTCTCCAATATCTTGGAGTAAGAATATTAAATTCAAGCCTCTGTTACATTGTTCTTGTGTTACACTTTCCATTCTGTGTGTGTAGTTCATTTTAAATACTACCTTAGACTGCAGTTCTAAACTTTATTTGGACCCTGTTGAATATAGCATTGTTACTAAATAAACATGAACAATTGGACCTTGTTTACATAACAGAACATTGGTGCACCTATATGTTTTTAGAAAGTAATATATTTTTAGTTCTTACAGTAAGTTATCTAATAATGCTGGGTTGTTTTTTTGGCAGGCAGGAAGAGGGAGAAAAGCTTAAATATATGAAAGAGAAACTTCAGCACTATTGATGCTGTAGGAGCACAGCTGTGTTAGTCTATGGTGGTAAAAAACCAGGAGTCTGGTACAGCGTTAGTAGTGCTGAAGTTTCTCTTTCATATATTCATATATATATAAAACAAAGTTTATTAAAAGGCATATATTTTCGAGCAGATGAAATGAGCAGCAGTTCTTGAAAGGATGTGCCTTTTAATAAAATTTGATAGTCAGAAAAGGTGCTACCCAGCTCTTCCTGATTTTTTTCCCACACTATTAATACTGCTGAGTTAAAATATTATCCATCCCTCTCTGTGTGACTAGATATGTATCTGTGGAAAAACATATTCCTTGCCCTGCAAATATTACAGTCAGCATGCTTGAAACATATGTTAAGAGAGAGTATTTGCTTAACAATTCCCTGCATGTCTGCTGGAGGGATATATTAAATGACGTTTGAGGGATAGATAAAATAGCTAGATAAGTTTAAAAGTAAAATAATTATATATATATATATGTGTGTGTGTGTGTGTGTGTGTGTAAGTCACCTAACTGAACACTGAGAGTAAAATCTAGATCTGCCTTGTAGTTTTCTTGGGGAAGACAAGTCATCTTGTATTTTGCCATCCGCAAGGGTAATAATTATGCCCCAACTAGTACTAGATTTGCATTCACTACTGGTCTTAGGCATTTAATTGTTTAGCAATTTTGATAATTTTTTTTCCCTGGAGCAGATTCATATTTTATTTATAGTTTATTGTCAGTTTTTGACACACACTCTTTCTCTTTCTAGATTATTTATCATTATTTTCTACTTAATGATTTTGGAGCCCAGAAACAAATGGGCAGAGCAACTTAAACATGAATCATTCTGGGATAAATGATGTATCAGCTTTAGAACTACGTCAGCTTTGTCTGGCTTGTTTTTCTCATTTTCTTTCCTTTCAGTTCTTTGCTTATTGAAAAAGGAAGTTTTTCAAAGCAGTAAATAAAGCTGGAACTGAAATAGGTTGCAGGCACATCCTAGAGAATTTTTGAAGAAATGGGGCAGGGTGTGTGTGTGTAGAAAGAAGGCTGCTTCAGTGCTGAAATGGCTTGGACCAGGCCCTTCTCCATTTGCAAGACTGAAGTGGAACTGCTGCACGGAGGAACTAGAGTTTCCAGCATAAGACCATCTTGATTTGCTGCTGGGATGGGTGGTGGTTCTCGAAATTCCAGCTTCTAGTGAGAGTTAAGATCTTTTAACTATCAGTTTCATTTTTGCCTTTTAAATGGCTTCTCAACTACCTGTATTAATGTAAGAATAGTTTTAGGATGCAACAAAAATGCCTATCTGGGAAAGATCACCATAAAGTCAAGTACTTTCTGGGGGAAGCTCCCAGTAGTGAGAAGCTCTTAGTAGAACTTAATTGTGCTAAACATTATTAGGGTTGTACGTTTCATTAATATGATAGTATTTGGTGATGCACCTTAGTAGTGGATAAGTTTAAGGATGCAAAGGATCATCCCTAGTTTGTGAGAAATAAAATGTTTTAAAAACTGGTGATGTTATTTTTAATGTAGTGTCATAGTGAAATTACTAACATATGCCCTTTGGAACCATATGGCATTTCTGTTTTGTTACTATTGACAGATTCTTTTTTTTGTTTGGCAAAAATGTATATTTTACTATGCCTCCATACAGTCATATAGCAGAGTCAGCTAGACCAAATCTTTTGATAATTACAATAATAAACACCTTCTTAAAAAAAAAAAAAAGCCAATATGGATGAATTGCAGCTGGCTTAGAACTGCTGAGGAGACTCATAAATGAAAACGGATATTTGAGTAAGCTAACTGCATAGACACATACACCTAGAACATATTTTGTTCATGGAATATGTCAATATATCTGGAGTTTTTGTTTCCCTTTTTCTTCAAGCTTCTATAATTAGGCTGAAAGTTATCCTCAGCCTTTTCCTCAATCTTTTGCATTTGGCTGTGTCCTTAAACTAAAAACGGTACGTTTATTTTTAGTTTTTGTAGGCTTTTGCACTAGGCAGGGATCTGGGCTAGATAATCTGCAGATTCGATCCAGATTATATAACTGGCTGAAATGGGAGCAAAATGCAATGGGAATTAAACGGTACTCTATTAATTTCAGTAGGAGCCCAGCTTAATTATTTTTGCTTGGAATCAGTCTAGTTTTGTTTTCTGCAATTCTTTAGGAATGATTCTAAACATTCCCTCGCCCTTTTTTATAGCAGCACAAAAAGGAAATGTGTTGTGGATGATCTTCTGTAACACCACTACCTTCCTTTCCTGTTCGTCAGTCTTTTTTGGTGTAGACCAATGGGCAGATGTCACTGTGAGTTTTCCAGAACTGGCCTATCTGTGGAACTCTGTGTCCTCCCTTTGCAGGTTGTCCCTTTGCTGTTTGGAAGGCTTTAAAAAACACTTAAGAAGAGAGTAAGGACAGTTTGTACTTGCATAGCCAGTTTCTCATCCACAGAAATAAAATGAAAGCTAGTGGTTTCTTTCTTTCCCCTTCCAGCCTTCTGAACCTGCTGTTTGTCTGCTGTAAGCACAACATAAACCATTTGTAATCAGAGCACCCTGGCTGGAGATCGGGGAAGGGAAGTTCATGGCCTTTCTCAATGTTTTCAGCTGATTTTTAAAATAAATGAGAGGGTGGGAGAAATCTGACTGGCTGAAGACTCTTCTTCCATACCGGCATGGCAAGCTAACATTCATGAAAAATAGAAATGAAACTGAGAGTTTGCAAAGCTGGTGAAAAAGTAACAGGGGTAAGGAAAGCATGAACTAATTGGACCTCACCTACAGAAGGACTGCCCTCTAGGAAGGAATTGGAGATATCTGAGATTTTCAAGGATTCTTCAAATGGATCACTTTATTTGGGGTGGGAGGTGGGGAATGTTTTTTTCCCCAAGTACAGAATAATGTAACATAGAAGCTTTAATCAGTGGACTGGGAACTATGTCATGAGGAAGGCATGCACATTTGTGTTTACTGAAGCACACCATTACCACTTTAACACACTTGGGCAGAAAAGATGTTAGTCAGTTTACCAGTGCTGAACTCTGTTCATTTTGTATTTTTAAAAAACTTTTGTTATCATGGTTGTTTCCCAATAAACCTATTTAAAATTGAAATTAGTAATTCATTATGAGGTGACTCAACATTGTGTTTACATAACAAGCTTTGTTCTGAATATCTGGCAAAATGCTAAAGAACGACAGTCATAAACTCTATTAATGTACATTTAAACAATGACTTAGGTTACAAAAATGTGAATGTTTACCAAATAATAAAATCCACAGAATTAGATACTGCCTCTTTCTGAGTAAAATGCAAGTGTTCAAAGAGGGAGGAAAGGCAGTGTTGAGGATAAGAGAAAATAGCATGCCTGAGGATAACCAGGTGATGCTAAGGTAAGAGCATGGGGCATTAGGTTTTGGGGAGGGTCCCCAAATAAGTGTTCCTGCAGCTGTTCTGTTGATGCTCTGGCTACTCATTGCATATTTAAAAAAACCAAAGACCAAACCAATCTTTTAAACGAAATCTTGCCAGTAAGCTGGTCCAATCAGATGTTGCCTCAGGAATTCATGGAGACTGAGTCTCAATGCCTTTCACCACATTAGTGCCCTCACTGGCTTTATGTCCAAAGACAGCATCTGATTGGGCCAGCTTGCTACTAGCATAACAAAAGAGTTTTTTTAAAACAGTATGATGCACAGCTGTACCTTGACAGGCAAGCTAGTATAATCCTTGCCACAGCAGTCACTGAAATGATATGGGAGTGACCAGAGTGGCGGTAGAAAGTGACTGCATGGTTTGGGGGCACTGTAGGAGGAGAAGACTATAGTAAGGGACATAAAATTGATGGATACTACTGGCTCTTTTCCTCAAGATACCTTATTTTGGGCCTGGCAACATACAGTGATATGGCTACAGGCAACTGGGTAAATTTATGGCAGGACCGAGATTCTGAATCAATAATTGTTCAAAACTCCATGTCCTAAAGATAATGTATTGTGCTTGATTAGCTATGGATGTCTCTTACATGGTTTTATTCTGAAATTAATTTTATTTGTTCACAGAGCATAAAAGACTAAAGAATGACAAGTCCATTCTACAACAACAAAACCTTCAGTAATGCAATGTCTTTGCTGGCTTTGATTAGGAAGGACTGTGCAACTGTCTTCTTTACCACTGAATAAGCAGCATTAATTGGAATATCTGGTCTTTAAGCCACAAAATTTGAATGTTGAACACTGGCCAAATATAAACAGTGTGATGTTGAAATGAGATGAGGCTCCGAAATGGAACTGTAGCCACTGCATTAATTTTCATCACATCTTTTCTCAGTTTATCGTGGTATACAGCATGGCAGAATGGAAAAGGTAAGTTATGTCTTTGATGAAAAATAAGTTATGTCTTTGATGAAAAGAAAAAAAAAAGTGAAACTAATATAAATAAATTTGGGGAAATCCTTTTAGATGTTTAAACAGAAGCAGTATAATGACATTTTTTTCACAGAATGGGGCTGCCTAAAGTTTAGGCTCAGCAGAAAATACAATAAAAGTACATTGTTTGCTTGCCTCTAAAACTTTCAAACTTAGAAGGAAATAGTCTCCTTGCAGATCCATAGCTTATGGTTTTCTTTATGCATATCAATGTTTGGCCAAAAAAGGTAAAAGGCTATATAGAATTATAAGGAAGTATTACTGTATGATTTATGCTCAAGAAGTTCCAATAACCACTCATGGAAATATATCCATTTCTGTTTCAGGTCTTATTCTACACTGAGGCCATTAGCTTTGCACAATAATTTTTTTTTAAAAAAAGAATCCACATAGGATTGTAATAATGAGTCCCAGCCTGAACTGCAATGAGTTTTCAAAGAATGTAGGAGGATATTGCTCTTGATCTGTCTTCTTCTTTCCTATACATGAGTTGATGGCTACAAAGATGATAGACAGTATTCTTTCTGAGAAACATTTTTGTGTCTTTGGTTTTTTATTATTAATATTGACCAATTCACAACATAAAGAAAGGCTTCATATTTATTTATGACAATACTACTGGCCACATGCTGTTGCCTAAATAAATTTTTTTCCAGAATCTTATTTATAGAAGAGTTTATAAGAATGACATTACAATAATCTAGCATGTTCAACTTGGTGTTGTTAAATGCAATCCTAATGCATTGTATTACTAACTGTTGCCATGCAAATCTTCAGATATAAATATTTGTATAATTCATCTGTGGGAATTTTGCATTTTGTGATATCAATAAAGCATTTTCAAATAAAATATAAAACATCACAAGCACTTATGGGCAACTTGATGTCTTGGAAGAAAACTGCTTTAGTACAAATACAGGAATCTAAATAATCCATCCTTGACTCGTGGATAAATGATAAGGAAGTGTTACTGTATGATTTATGCTCAAGAAGTTCCAATAACCAGTTTATTTGTTAAAATGTACAATGAAGATTGACTATTGCAATACCTTATGTATATTTTCTGTCCATTGGCAGCATTAAAATGTATATAACATGAAAAATAGCATACTTCAGGAATAAAGGAAGAAGCAAATGATGTAGTTAACCATCAGGTACTAAAAATGTTTAATACTTGGCTTTCCAATAATAGAATGTACCATTCCTGGCTTGTACCACATGGTTCACATCTAAGGGATAAAAATGGGGATATAATTTTTTTTTTTTGGCTAGAAAATAATAGTGTAATTATGTGTCTTATTTTTCATCATAACAAATCTTTGGAAATGATTTTGTTTCCTCAAGTTTTTGCAATTTCAGAATTTAGCCAAATCTCAAAAGCAAAGTAAATACTTTGTTGCACAATTGGCTTCTTAATTATAGATTTTAAATATCTAAACTTAAATATTGTTTTTCCCCAGATAGATAGATAGATAGATAGATAGATAGATAGATAGATAGATAGATAGATAGATAGATAGATGCATACATATATAGAAGAATCAGGAGACTGTAAACTGTGCCTTATTAGCCATTTTTATTAATGGTTGTCACTCTTATTTTATCTCTTTTTAACACTACAGTTTCCAGAAGGTAAGAAATCTATTTTGACCAATTTAACATTCTTTACTTTCCCTAGACTGCGGTATGAAGCAAATAACAAAACAAAACACCTCCCTCTCTGAATCTTTTTCAGTTAGCTGAAAATTCATAGGAGATATATCAAGGCAAGGCTGGTTGCCATTGGTGACATGGCTTCAGGAGTCTTGTTTCAAAATTATTCATTATGGCTTACAGCCTAACCTTGTGTAAGCAAGCCCCACTGAGTTCAAGGTTATTTCTAAACAAGTATATATATAGGATTGCAGCTTTCACTCATCTTCCCTGCATTTTCCTGCTTTAGAAAAATGCTGTTTCTTCTGAAAGTAGCATGTTGAATGCTTGAAAGTGAAATAGCTTGTTTCTGAAACTTTGTTGGATGTGAATGGAACTATGGAAGAAATAGGGGTCATTGATTTTTTGTGCAAATTTTGGATTAAGCCAGTCTCCCCACACTGTGTATATCTGAATAACAGAGAGAAAGGGAGGGAATGTAACACACTGCTGTCAGGTATAGAAATGCACTGAAAACAGCTCAGTTAAAATATATGTATTTTATGTATTTACAATGACAGAAGTCGGGGCTCTACTTTTTATTTTGCATTTATAGCTATTAATAAAGGCAATACTGACAAAACAAGTCACACAGATACAAATAGGAATTGTTCAAGAATCACGTCCTTGAGATCTAGCAGAACTTTTATATGCTTTAGCAGGCAGAAAGAAGAATACCAGAAAGAAGAGAGAATTGGTTTTATACTAAAAATATTTTGTTTGACAGAAAAGCTACATACCATATTATCAAGTATGTCTTTATGTTCCAAAATACTTGGCTCATTTTCATTAACCAGATAAGCAAATATAATACACATTTTACACACATTTAGATTCAGTGGTCTAGCATACTCACCAACTGTTATGAAACAGATGAGATATACACCAAATAAAGACCAACCAGCCAATTTGCAGTGAAACCCACATGTTTCTTCCAAAAGCAACATGCTTTTAACCAAATGCTATACATATTTACTTGCAAGGCAAACTTTTATTCAGGTAAAAAAATATATATACATAGCCAATATATACATAAGTATTTTACACAGTATTGATAAATGTGAACAATGTATTCTTTTAAAATAGTTTAAATTACATTTAAAAATATTTCTAAAGACTTGTAGCAGTAATATATATTATATGCACATGTCTGTAGTGCATATGCACTACAAATGGAATAAATTAATTCCATTGTTTAATACATATGTAAACTTTTTGTCAGGCAGCATGCCATTATTTTAAGTATACATAATATTTGTTTAAATAAATAGCGATAAAAGTTGTTTTCTATAGTCTGCCCAATTTGGTTTAAATAAATATTTATTTATGCGTAAAATAGCCCTGTTTAAATAAGTGGAACAAAGTAACCCTTATTATCTTTAGATAGATTTCATGCAAATAATATACAGTAAATATAGTTAAAGATGTATTCAGTTACATTTTAATTTTCATGGGTGTTCTTAGCAAGGAAAATGACACAGTGGGACAGGATATACTGTACTTCATTGAGAATTTTTGCTTCCCCCCCCCTTAGGAAGTGTTTTGTTGTTGAGATGTGTTGTGTTGTCATATCTGCCTTCGGCAATCTGATACCCAATGTCTGATATACTGACTGTGCTAGCTAAAATTGTTGTGGTAATCTAACACAACAGGGGTCACCAAATTGGAGAATAATTTTTTTTACCAAACATTCAGCAGGTTTCTGAAGTGTAATCACTTCCAAGAGCACATCATATTAAACTGCATAGAGGATAGAAGAATATATCTCTTAAAATATTATTGAATGCAACAGATTAAGTCAATGAAAGTTTTTTTAAAATATTATTTTTCAAGGCTTATAGAATATTGGATTGTGTTAGCAAGAATTACAAAATGTATTCCACAGAGTGTGTGCCACAACTGAGAAAGCCAGCCTTCTAGTCCATGTCCTTCTCACCTCATATGGGGATGGGATCTTAAACATGTATCTAATGTATCTAGATGATACAATAGGATGGATGGATGGATGGATGATGATGATGATGACGATGATGATAATATCACCATTAGTCAATTGCAAAAGGCAGCTCTATTTGGAACAGCTTATATCCTGTGATGATTCCTTTAACAGCATCAAACATCTGCCTATCCCAGGTCCTTGGGAAGGACTCAGTAGGAGGATAAAAATGCCAAATCCAGTCTAAACATCTGGGTGACTGCGACCGACCATAATTCCCCAATAATGATAATAGTACAAGCCTGTCTAATAAGGTAACCCATTGCTGTATCATATAGGGTTTTATGGATAATAACCAGCACTTTGAATTGGGCCCAGAAGTCTACTTGCAGCCCCAGATAGTAAAATAGGTGTTACTCTGCAGTGGTAGGACCTGTTTGCCAGCAGTCTTCTCTACCAGCTGCAGCTTCTGGGTTGTCTTCAGAGATGACACCACATAGAATTCATTGCAGTAATCCAATTGTAAAGTGACAAGGTCATGAGTCATTGTTGCCAGTGCCTCTGTAAGTCACAATTGGCACACTGCTGAAGCTGGACAAAGGTTACATTGACAATAATGTCATGGACTTGCTCCTTCAAGGGAGAGTTATCTGACAATGGAATAGGCTGCCTTAGGACTCTTGAACCTGCCAGAAAAGAAGAGGAAAAACGTACATAAAAAGAGAATGAATTAATATTAGCAGTCTTGACAATGTGAATATGAGTTAAGCAAGCAGTAATAGTTATTAACACTGCTAAACAATGTTTTAAAATATTGCTGACTTTTTAATGAAAAAAGTTTTATTTTGAGATTATACTCATATAATTATACATATATTAAGTATACTCACAGTATACTGTGTATATTAAGAGTGTGTGACTTTCACTTTTGACAAAATTGCTTTCATACTTTGAAATACTGTGTTCTCAGAAGGGAAGCGTCCCATCATCAAATGAAAAGAGGTACAGCCATGGCCATGGAAGTGATTGCTCAGTATGGCTGGGAAGAAAATAGTTGAACATGACTTTGAAACAGAAGGGATTGTGTTATAAGCTGCAAGAATACAATCAAAAGGAAGAAACAAAAGGAGTGACTGAAAGGGAGTATTAGTAAGGAAGAAGTTTCAGAGACTTGAGTGTTTAGGGAAGCATTCAGTGTTTTAGTTGAAGGAAGGAAATATGGGGAAAGAAATTAAAAAAAAATTGTGTGTGGACAGCATTCTCAAGATTGTGTAAGTAGGATAGCATTGTGAAATAAACTCTCTTTTTA